TTTACTATTGTGTGAAGGGGCAACCAAATATTCAAGAAGGGTATCACAAGCTCTAAATCAGATTATTAAATTTAGATTAAAAAGATTGAAGTTACACAGTGATAAAGGAGAGTTAAGGATAGGACATAGGAGTTTGAGACAAATGAGAAGATTTTGTTTTATGTAGAATCATGTCAGGCAAAGAAAAGATAAAGTAGCACTTTGTCCAGAGTGTCACCATTTTGTTAATGACAGTCCTACAGTGACAGATTGCACAATGCAGATTCCCATATGGAACTGCTCCTCTACTGGGGTAGAGAGCGGTGATTACCTCAGCCTACCAGAATGCCCGTGTGGTCAGCATTCACCATGGACAGCCACGTATCTTCACCATTTCTTTCTCTTTGGGATTCTGTTTTTAAAAGAACCACACAAATTCTTTGCTGTCATTTTTACTTATAAATAGTTATTTCTATTGTGTTGAAAGACTTTAGTCCACTTAAAGAAAATCTTGAGTTATAGATCGTCCCAGCCTCTGGAGTAGCAGTTTGCATCGTTGAGTCATTGACTTTATTTTTTTTAAATATATATTTGAAATATTTATATACCATAAAATTCACTTATTTTAATTATTCAATTAAGGGGTTTTTACTATATTCCCAGAGTTCTGCAGCAGTCACCACAATCTTAAGTTTAGAACATTTTAATCACTGTTGACTTTTTTTAAAAAATGAGGTGAAATTTACATTACATAAAATTACCCTTCTTAGAGTGTACAGTTCAGTGGTGTTTAGTGCTGGGCAATCACCAGTGCTCTAGTTACATAACTTTTTCATTACCCCATAAAAACACCTTATACCCATTAAGTAATTATTCTGCATTTCCCTCTCCCACCAGAATGTCTATCAGCAGATGAGTGGATAAGCAAATTGTGGTATATAGTTACAATGGAATATCATTGAGCCATAAAAAGGACTGAAGTCCTGATATACGAGGTCTGACTGTAAAAAGTCCAGCCATTGTTAGTAACGAGAACGGAGCATGACATTTATGTAACATGGCAGCCAAGGAGAGTGGACTAGAATGTGCATGCGTGAACAATGACTTCTCTCTACTAGTCAGTGGGGGTGGTACACACTGTTGAGTGAGCATATGTACTGTGTGGCCGTCACATTCAAAATGACTGAGTGAGTAGAGCAGTGAACCTGGCATCAAATTTTGCATTAGGCTTAAACATTCCTCTGCAGAAACTATTCAGTTGATTCAGCAGGCTGCAGCTATGGGCAACTGGTCATTGGCGGCTTCATAACGACAATGTACCTGCTCATGTATCATGTCTCTTGTAGAGGTATTTTTTTGGCGAAACATCAAATCACCTGGGTGACTCAGTCCCACTAAAGCCCAGATTTGGTGCCCTACGACCTCTGGCTTTTCCCAAAACTAAAATCACCTTTGAAAGGGAAGAGGTTTCACACCATTGATAAGATTCAGGAAAATACGATGGGGCAGCTGATGGCAATTGGGAGAACTGTGTGAGGTCCCACGGTACCTACTGTGAAGTGGACTGAGGCGTCATTGTCCCATGTACACTGTTGTATCTTCAGTAAATGTTTCTGTTTTTCATAGTACATGGCTGGATACCTTCTGGACAGACCTCCTATAGTGCAACTTGGGTAAACCTTGAAACATGGTGAAAGAAGCCAGTCACAATGGTCACATATTGTATAATACCATTTGATCCCATAATATGAAATGTCCAGAATTGGCAAATCATCATTAACTTTTTCAGACAGTGTTTCAGACCTCAGAGTCTGCTCTGAGGGCTCTAGGTCCAGGTATTCTTAACCTGTCTTGACCTTGGCAGGCAGCATTGCTAATGGTGACTGCAGGCTTAAAATAAGACCTGGCACTCAGTCGTGTTCTACCAGTTCTGGCAGTGGCCTGTGGGCAAGCCACATGTACTTTCTCTGTTCATTTCCCTTGTTTGTAAAATAGAAAGATGCACCTTTCTACTTGAGTTAACGATGGAAAGCACATTGCATGGCATGTTCTTTTTTTTTTAAATTTATTTATATGCGAGAGAAAGGAAGAAAAATTAAACATCTATTTGTTGTTCCACTTATTTATACATTGATTGGTTGATTCTTACATGTGCCCTGACGAGGGATCAAACCCACAACCATGGCTTATTGGGATGACACTCTAACCAGTGGAGTACCTGGTCAGGGCACATGGCATGTTCTTATTGTGACTGTTTTTATTGTTTCTTTTGTTGTGGTCCTTACTCCTTTCCTGCAGAGGACCTTTCAGGTTACTTTAGTCTACTATTGTGCGAGTTCATAGCTGATCTGTGCCGAGTATCCATTTTCTTACACTGTATAATCTTGTACCCTTGTCAGCATCAATCAGTCACCTTAGGAGAAGGTTATGTGGTCCTGGGGTTTGGTGACAGGGCTGGGAGGGAGGAGTTGTCCTGATTTTTTTCTTTCCTGGCCATCTGTGCTCTTTCAGGAACCTCAGTTCTTTCAGTACCTCCCTACCAGATCTGAGACTGAGCCACCTCCTTTCCCAGCTAGCAAAAGGAGTAAAACTTGGCATTTTACCTGGATGGGGGTAAGTTCTGCACCCTATATGAGTGAAGAGAAGGAAGTTAGGAACAAAATTTGTTCTTCCTTTTATTAAAATGAAAATAGACACAGATTTGGATTCTTATTAGCAAAGAGGAAATGTCTTTGAACTGGTCAGCACTGTCCCTTATGCTTTGCTGCTTGGCAGTGTTCTCAGCTAAATGTCATGGTTCATCATTTACAAGTTCTGCTTTTCACATCACTGCCGGAAACAATTCAGCCAAGTTTTCTGTCACTATATAATAAGGATCTTCTTCCCTCTAGTTTCCACTAACTTACCCTAACATCCTTTGGAGCCATAACCAGCAGAACCTCTAGTGTCCATATTTCTGCTAACAGTCTGTTACTGACCATTTAGGTATTCTCTAAGATGATATATGTTTCTCTCACATGCTACTCACTTCTTTCACCTTGTTAGCAGAGTCATTAATATCCATGTTCCTATTAACAGTCTGTTTAAGGAATCTAGATTTTTTTCTACCCTGCTCAGAATTTTTCTACCAACAGTGAGATTCTAAAGCTACTTTCACATTTTAGGTATTTGTTACCCTAGCATCCCACTTCCAGGTAATACAATTAGTTTAATGAGAAAAATGTATCAGTTTTCTATGGCCCTTTTGAGAAATGATCACACTTAGTGACTTGAACAACATTGACTGTCTTACAGTTCTGAAGGTCACAAGTCCTGACAGGTCACCTTACTGAAAGCAAGGTGTCAAAGGCCATGTGTATGGAGGGATACCTGTTTCCTGCCCACTCAGATTGTTGGCAGAAGTCACACACTCTTCAGTCATGCTGTCCCAAATGTCTGCAGGGTGACATGCTGTGGCAGTTTCTCCCTGTCTTCTCCTTTTTCTTTTATTCCTTTTGCCTTTTATTTATAGAAAGAGAATGAGTTATTTATTTTTTCTGCTTTGTTCATTTAATAAAATCATGCATGTTCAGAGCTGGGCAGGACTTTGAGGGTTCCCTGTTCCACACCCCATTTCACAGTGGGGAACCTGTGGGCTTTGGGTGAAGAAACTCATCTACAGTGGTTTGGATGGTTTTTGGGAAGTGAGGACTGGCATCCAGGTTCCCATATTTCTACTTCAAACAGGTTTATGCAGAAGAGTATCCTGTCAAAATCAAGCAAAACACTGCCCTTAATCAATTGTCTTTTTAAGTGTGAGTGTGGATTTTTTTCTTTAGCTCACTTTTTTATTTGATAGGAAAAGGTTATGGCCCTGGCCAGTGTGGCTCAGTTGTTTGAAGCATCATCCTGGAAACAGTAGGGTCGTGGCTTCAATCCCTGGTCAGGGCACATACCTAAGTTGTGGTTTCAGTCAGATTGGGGAATGTATGAGAGGCAACCAATCAATTTTTCACTCTCTCATCAATGTTTCTCTCCCTCTCTCTTCCTCCCTCTCCCTCTCTCTAAAATCAATAAGCATGTCCTCGGGTGAGGATAAACAAAAAAAGAAACAGAGAAAGATTCTCTATCTTAGGAGCTCACGAATTCTATTTGCTTTAAGTTAATCTTGATGTCAAGTGTTTAGTAAATTTGAATGCACTTAATATAAGCAAATAATGACCCTGTAAAGTTTATTTATAGCAAGAGGCTAAATGTGTTCACTTTTCTTTTTTTACCAGATGAGTAATGATATACATGAGGATCATTTGAGGTAATTTTAGCCACTCTTGGTCATTTGTCCAAAAACTTAATACAAGATTCCCAAGGCAGCTTTTAGATCTTCCCAGGGCTTTAGTAGTGATGACTTGCAATTGTAATTTTATAGATTCTTTCTAAATAACTGTCAGTGTCTGTCAGACCATTCCAGGTGTAAGAGCTGGGATTCCCTTTTAGTTCTTAAAGGTGTGATCTACAAATGACTGGGGAATCAGATGTTCAGGAAGTTGTTTATCCTCTGCCTCATGAATTTGTCTCTGTCTCTTTTATTTACAGAACCTCAGAATCTAGGAACACATCATACTGAGTGTTGCTGCTTTGAATTCATATAGTAGGAAATAGTGGCTTTTGGGAAACACCTGTCTTCCCTGTAGATGAGTGTGTCTTCCTTCCCTTATTGCAATTCTTTATTCCCATTACTTTTTGTGTTCATAAGTGCTTTGAGTTTTCCCTCTTTAAAATGCTTCTAGAGGATTCAAGGTACAGCCTATCACACTATCTGGAAAATAACTGTTAAGAGTGCCCCACATAGCTGGAAGATTAAAAAAGAAAAAAAGAACAAAAGCATGTTTGCCAGTGTTAGCAGACAGCCCTAAAGTTTAATCACAAGTTACAGAAGTTGATGGCCTCATTGTGGAGACACTGGGTAAGAAGCCATCTCCTGCTGAAAGGGCTTTGAAACCAGCCTCTGCTGATTACCTTTGTACATATTTTATTTCCGGCAGCTCCTTTAGTGGCAGAGTTTTCCGAGTGACCTTTTTGATGCTGGCTGTTTCCCTCACCGTTCCCCTTCTTGGAGCCATGATGCTGCTGGATTCTCCCATAGATCCACAGCCTCTCAGGTGAGCTGCCCCAGCAATTCTTGGGAGGGGTTGCTCAGCAAAATATAATAGGCTGGGATGATTTCTTGACTAATTAAACCAATCTGATCTGAAAGGTAAGTTATTATGAGACATAGAGATTTGTGATTTTTTTTGCCTGCATTTGATAGTGAATTAGATGTTCCACAGAATACATGCATCATGTTGCCCATGTTATTGTTTCAACAAAACTATACAAACCAAAAACGAAAACCAGAAGAATCTCAAACAAGAGAAGCTTAAGTATTAGCCACGGTTAACCTGAATACATAAGAAATGGCAAAAGCACAAACAAATGGAAGTTACCTTGTTTAAATTTTATAAGTAACTGATTTTTTAAAAAAAAAACTTGTAATTAATGTTCTTTTTTTCTTAAGTTACCTTTTGTCATTAGTGATCTATGAGTAATGCTGTCTGTAAAAACTTGATAAAATAGTGTATACTTATGGAGTCCCATGAAATATATTCACATTTTTAATTATACTGAGCCAGGCTCTTACCTGTGTGATTTATGACATTGATGTTGAGGTGGTGTAAGAGGGTCGTGCAGTCTGGTTGAATAAATTCCTGTTTTCCATTGGAACTGCCTGGAGGGGTAAGCAGTCTGAACTTTATTTTAAATGAATCATAAGGTTTTAAAAACTTCAGAAAGAACCATGTTTTATTTTGGAGTAAATACAACATACACAATATATAATGTGTTGGTGTTTTGTATACAGCTGTTAACTACCTGCAGGATATATCAATAGTTCTGACCTTACATTGACATACATAGAGAAGAGTCAGCTCTTTGTTGTTGGATTGGGAATTAGTTAAGGTACATGGTGTTGTTAAAACACAATTATCTTGCATAAGACTGAATAAGATTGATAATGGTTGGAGGCCTGGGCACTCTAGACTCGTGTGTGTTTGCACTGTAATTTCTGGTTTGTCAGTGTTTCCCTGCAGGGACATCCTAGACGTTCTCTCTGAGAGGATTCTGGAACATGCTGAGGGGAGGGGCCTTTCTCTTGCTAACCCCTCTCAACATGTGGAAGGATGTGGCTCAGCCCACCCAAAATAGAAACTGACCTGGACTTTTCTATTCATTTGGCAAGGCAAGAAAATGAACTGTGTCCACAGCTCATTTTAGTCTAGATTAAAGTCTAGACTGGGTAGATAGATTAAAGTTTGGACTGGGGAAGTAGCCTTGGGAAAGAGGAGGAAAGTAGAGCAGGTAAAGATGCAGTTTCAGAGTTGAAGTGGGAGGGATAAAGCTTAAGTAACTGAAGACCTTTGATCTCAGTAAAGGTGAACTTATGTAGGGAAAGAGTGGTGAAGAAGTTCAGAGGAAAGATGGGTATGTAGTCATGACCAGAAATTGAAAGGAAACATGGCCCAGTACGGATTTAAAGTTGTTCATGTGAGTTCTGCTTGGGCAGTAGATGAGCCTGATGAAGAAGGAAAGGTGGACAGGTTCTCTTGCACAAGCTCAGATTTAGGGAACAACTTGCTCAAAAATTGGAAGCATGGCCTCAAAGTGCAGAACGAAAAACAGAAGAGTGGCAGAGAGTGTAAGAACAGAAATAAATTGATGTTTGGGAAAAATGCTAATGACAAAGGAAAAAAACTTCTTGAAAACTATCTGCAGAGCAAAAAGAGCAAGGGAGGAGAAGACCCACTGTCTGGGGTGTGTGACGCAGTATTGAGTAGGACAGGAAAGCAGAGCTACTGGCTTATGCTCTACCTCAGTCATCTCCCAGCTAAGAGAGGGGCGCCATGTTCAATGGGATCAGACCAACTGGCAGGGCGGGAGGTCAGCAGTGGCAGTGCCTTGGGGAGTCTATCTCTTCTTGAGCTTAGACCACACTCAGAAATCTCTGAGAAATGAGAGAACAGACAGACCAGGGACAAGGAGGGGTAGAACCCTTCCAGAGTAGGTTGTTAATGCAGTTGGTTTCACTTCTTGGGAGTCAAGCCACCTGGAAGGCTGCAGGGCTTTGCCAAAAACCTGCCATGCAAAGCCACTTTCTTTTCCTTTTTGGAATTTTGGAGGACTGTTATATACAGGACATATGTGACATCCTGATATCTGGAGGATGTTGACCAGTGTCTTTCAGCATACATTTGACACATGGAGTTAGTGGAAATTAATGTTAGTTAACAGCAGTTAATTAGTTAACAGAAAGTCATCGGCCTTAACCAGAGTCCACGTGGCCCGGCTTGCTGTGAGTATTGATTTGGGCTTTCTGGAGCCACTTTTCCTTGGTACTCCTGCTGCCTAGGTGCAGGAATGAGGTTTCTTTCTTGTCTGTCCTTTGCATTTTCTGTTTTCTTCTTGTCTTCTTGCTGAGATAATACTTAGGCTTTTTGTGGACAGGGACAGTGTGCCATATACTGATTAGTTTGATTTTGCAAATATTTCATGAGGACTTTCTGTGTGTAGAGAATTAGGTAAGGTCCAAGGACTAGGTGAGAGGGGCAGGTATCAGGTGTACCCTTGTCTATCCCTAGGCTTTTTTTTTTTTTTAGATTTCATTTACTTATTTTAGAGAGAAGGGAGAAAGAGAGGAACATCTGTGTGCAAGAGATACTTAGATTGGTTGCCTCTCATACACCTCCAGCTGGGGACCTGGCCTGCAGCCCTGGCATATGCCCTGACTGGGAATTGAACCAGTGACCTCTTGGTTCACAGGCACTCAGTCCACTGAGTCACACCAGCCAGGACTGTCCCTGGACTTTATGTGTTAATGTTGTTCAATCTTCACATAAACCTTTCTGAGGTCAGAATTTGAAAGCAGATTTGTCCAACTCTGTAACTCTGGTTTTTCACCAAATATGCAGGTTACAGTCCTGCTTTTTCTTTGGAAATAAAATTCCTAGTCAAATCAAGCGTTTTGTTTTTTTTTTCAGCAAGTTGAAATCATAATTTAATTTGAAAGAAGTTGTGCTGTGTTCTGCACAGGTGCCCATTCATAGCGGGTAGCAAGGGTAAAATGATTTGCCAGCAAGGCAGAAAGCTTTTTTTCTACATCCTCAACCATCCCCTCCCCTTGGTTCTCCTACTCTGGTGGTCTGGCTAGGAAACTGCCTTGCTAGAGGGCAGGGTGGGGAGTGAATTGGGAGATTCTTCTCTTCACTCTTGCCACCATCACACTCCTTCTATAGTGTTCATTAGGAGCCTCCTTTATGCCAGGTGGTTGGAATACAGCAGCAAAAAGCATAGAACAAATCCCTGATCTCATCTGCTGTAGTGGAGATAGACAGACAAACAATAAATATAACAGAAGTGAGAAGCTGAAAAGGGCTGTGAACCAAATAGAGGTTAATAGGGAGGGGACTCTGCTTTTGGGGGAGGTGTTGAATATTAAATTACATGGTCAGAGCAGGCCTCACTGAGAAGGTGAGGGTGCAGGGAAGAGCCAGTGCGAAGGACTTAAGATGGAAGATGCCTGGTACAGTCAAGAACCAGCAGGGAATGGCTGGTGTGGAGGGGCAGAGTGAACTACTGGAAAAGGAAGGGAGAGGCCAATGGTGTAGAGCTAAGAGCCACAGCAAGGACTTAGGTGAGATGGTGCCATCACAAGGCTTTGAGCAGATAAATGCTGTGATCAGACTGTAGTGCTTACATGGGCTACTGGGTTGAGAATAGACTATAGGGGACAGAGAGGAAGCAAGGGAGAGAAGATGGTCGCCTGGACCAGGGTGGTAGCAGAGGACATGGGGCAAAGGGGTTCAGTGATGTCTGTCTTTAGGAGTTGGCATCAGCATGATTTGCTGATTGGTTGAGAGAAAGAGCATATTTGCATGTGGAGGAAAAGAACTGAGGAGAGGGAAGAATTCCTGGTGCCCATTCTGAGTGAAGGGAGGGAGGCAGGGCCCAGTGGAAGCTGTCTTCAGAGAAAAGCCATATGGTTCCTGAGGGTGTACCTATGCTGGACCATTGGGCAGAGGCATCAGTTCCCAATGAATTCCTTTCATTTCTTCTGTCTTTTCTAATGAAGCAAGGCTGTCGGCTGTGAAACATATACTCAGTTCCCCTCCATCTCCATTGGACTTTAATGGGAGGGCCGCCACTGGGAGTATAAGTGCCAAGGTGTGTGAATCAAGGGGTGTGAGGAGATTTAACCTGCTGTGAGACATTGGATCAGTGATAAAAAGTTCAGGTGGGTGGAGGCCCTGGAATACTCTCAGATGAGAGGTGATTGCAGAATCACCTGCCATCTGAGGACAGTTTTTTTCTTAACCTATTTCTGGCAAATAAGGATATTACTAGAGTGAACAGTCTTTATCAGATGGAATTATGCATGTTGTAGGTCCTCAGTAAAAACACTTTCTTCATGTATTTTCTATAGACAAATCCCTATAATTGCATTATTTTACAGCCTCAAAGAACCACCTCTCTTACTTGGTGTTCTGCAACCAAATACAAAGTTACGACAGGTGGAAAGACTATTTGAAAATCAACTTACTGGGCCAGAGTCCATAGCACATATTGGGGGTAAGTAAACCCTTGGAACTCCAGAGTCTGTCTGGGATAACTGTGGCTGTCTGTTGTCTAAAGCAGGGATTCTATAGGAACAGCCACAGGTACCCTGCTCCTGGTTTGGGGAGCCCTCGACATTTTTAGCTGCAGATGTTGTGTGATGTGCATGTGCTTGTTAAGCAGACACCCTGTGGGACCTTCTCGGCTCTTTGAGTTAAGGGCCATTTTAGTACCAGGTGATTTTGAGTTCTTTTCTGTGGAGCACTTTATTCTGCTCAAATTGTTGTATACATTAAAAAGAAATTAAAAAATGCAGACATTGATGTTTAGTTACTTATTAAAGTTAGGTAGATATTTCTTGATAAGACATTGTTTCTAGCTGAGTTCGTATAGATTTCATTTTTTAAAAAAAATATAAATGATTCTTAATGTTTCTACTTTTTTTTTTCCTGCAGAATTGCCCAAATCTAAGAACTAGAATTGGGTCTGGTTCTAATAGTAGAGTCTCTAGCAACCTGAAACAAGGCACTTTTGACTAGAATGAAAATTAAACTTTGGAATCAAAAGATAAAATTGAAGTTACTGTACTTAAAATGATGTGAGGATTTCTGAGCAGCTTAACTGGGCACTCTGCTTCTCATTCTAAAGTACTCTGTTTTCTAGGAAGTAGTTTTGGACAGTTGATTTTGGGGGTGCTCCTTTGTTTTGTTTTGAAGACAGACGAGGGCCACTCATTCTGTGATATTACTGCTTGTCTTTCCCAGACCTCCTGTATGATGCAGGACCCAAAGACAGGTGTATTTCTGCAATGGTTTGGCTGGCAAAGTCAAAATTGTTTTAAAGGGGGGTAGGTACTTAATGATAGAACTTCATATTTCCTATAAAACACATTGACATTTATTAGTAATATATTTTTTTCAAATTTTGGGGGGCAGTTTTGCAAAAAATCAAATATTGGAAATCAAAACTGGAACTTGGAGGAGTTAAAGTGATTTTCTAATACATATTTTATTGGTTACACTATTACAGCTGACCCATTTTTTTTCTCCCCTTTATTCTCCTCCACCCTACACCTCCCTACCCCTCCCTCCGCCAGCATTTCCTCCTTTAGTTCATGTCCATGGGTCAGTCGTACATGTAAGTTTTTTGGCTTCTGCATTTCCTGCACTATTCTTAACCTCCCCCTGCCTATTTTGTACCTACTATTTATGCTGCTTATTCCCTGTACCTTTTCTCCCATTCTCCCCCTTCTCTCTCCCCTCTGTTTTACTGTTCATAGTTTTTGATCTTCTTTTTCTTTCATATAATAAGAGCGTGGCGATGATGAACTCCTTTAACTTGACCTTATCTAGGAAGCACTTTATCTGCCCTTCCAGTCTAAATGATAGCTTTGCTGGACAAAGTAATCTTGGATGTAGATCCTTGCCTTTTGTGACTTTGAAAACTTCTTGCCAGCTCTTTCTTGCCTGCAAGGTTTCTTTTGGGAAATCTGCTGGTATTGTCTTATGTAAACTCCTTTGTAGGTAACTATCTCCTTTTCTCTTGCTGCTTTTAAAATTCTCTCCTTTTCTCTGATCTTAGGTAACTTAATTATGATGTGCCTTGGTGTATGCTTCCTTGGACCAACTTCTCTGGGACTTTCTGAGCTTCCTGGATCTCCTGGAAGTCAATTTCCTTGGCCAGATTGGGGAAGATTTCCTTCATTATTTGTTAAAATAAGTTTTCAATTTCTTGCTCTTTCTCTTCTCCTTCTGGCACCCCTATGATTCGGATGTTGGATTATTTAAAGGTGTCACAGAAGTTCCTAAGCCTCTCCTCAGTTTTTTGAATTTTTGTTTCTTCATTCTGTTCTGGTTGGATGTTTATTTCTTCCTTTTGTTCCAAATTGTTGATTTGAGTCCTGGTTTCCTTCCCTTCACTGTTGGTTCCCTGTTTCTTTTCCTTTATTTCACTTTGTATTGTATAGCCTTCATTTCTTCCTTCATTTTGCAACCAAAGTCAGTCATTTCTGTGAGCATCCAGATTACCAGTGCTTTCAACTGTGCATCTGATAATTGTCTTTCACCTCGTTGCTCTGTTCCTTTTCTGGAGTTTTGATCTTTTCTTTCACTTAGGCCAATTTTTTTTGTCTTGGGGTCACCTGTTTTTTTTTGTAAGGGGCGGAGCCTTAGGTATTTGCCAGGGTGGGGTAACCCTTTTTCCTGCCTTGTGGCTGTCTGTGGGGGAGGGGTCAAAGAGGGAACAGTGCTGCTTGCTCAGCTCTCACCCTACTTCCCGTCACTTCCCTTGCTTGTCACAAGCAGATTGTGCTCTTTGAGGTGCCGATTCTCAGCTGTAGGACCCCGTGAGTCTCTGGAACAGACTCTCCTGTGAGACTGGGAGTTTCTCCTGCTGCTGCAACCCCTACAGAATTTTACAGCCAAAGGTTTTGAGTCTTTATTTTCCTGCAGTGAAACCTGTCTGCCAGCTCCCGCCTCGCCCCTTGTGGTCCGCCACCTTGCCCTCTGTCCTCTCTGCCCCAGCTGCCCGTCTCTGCCCCTCCTACCAGTCTGGATGAATGTTTCTTTAATTTGTTGGTTGTCAGAGTTCCTGCAGTTTGGTTTTCTGGAAGTTCTGGTTGTTTTTTGTTTTTAAATTGGTTATCTTTCGTTTGGTTGTGCGAGGAAGTGGAGCATTTCTACCTACGCCTCCATCTTCAGAATGCTTCTAGTTTGTTACCATTAAGTTTGATACTAGCTTTAGGTTGTGTTTTTATCAAATTGAGGAAGTTTCCCTCTATAATTTGCTGAAAGTTTTATCATGAATAGCTACTAGATTTTATCAAATGCTTTTTCTACATCTATTAATATGATCATGTGATTTTTTTTTTTTTTTTTTTTTTTTTTAGCCTGTTGGTGCTATGGATTACTGAATTGGTTTTCAAGTGCTGGACTAACCTTGCACACCCTGGGTAAATCCCAGTTGGTTGGGTGTATAATTCTTTTTATGTGTTGGGTTAGGTTTGCTAATATTTTGTTGAAGATTTTTGTATCTTCATGAAAGAGATTGGTCTGTATCTCTCATGACTTTGGTTTGGGTATTAGGGCAATGCTGTCTTCTTAGAATGAATTAGAAAGTATTCCGTCTGCTTCTGTCTTCTAGAAAAGATTATAGAGAATTAATATCATTTCTTCCTTTAATGTTCATTAGTATTCACCAGTGAACCCATTTTAGCCTGGCATTTTCCGTTTTGGAAGGTTATAAATTATTGATAGGTTTCTTCAATAGATGTAGGCTTATTCAAATTGTCTTATTTTTGGAGTGAATTTTGGCAGATTGTGTATTCCAAGGAATTGGTGGATTTTCTTTTCATCTAATGTATTTTTTCATTTTTAAATCATGTTTATTCTACTACAGTTGTCTCAAATTTTCCCGCTTTGCCCTCCTCCACCCATCCAACCCGGCTCCCCACTTCCACAGTCAGTTCCCACTCTGTTGTCCATGTCCATGGGTCATTCATACATGTTCTTTGTCTAGTCCCTTCCCCTCTTTCCACCATTGTCCTCCTTCCCCATCCCCTCTGGTCCTTTTCTGTCTGCTCCATGTTTCCATGCCTGTGGTTTCTTCTTTTAAATAGATTCCGCTGATAAAGGTGCAATCATATGGTATTTGTCTTTCACTGACTGGCTTCTTTCACTTAGCATAAATTCTCCAGTCTTATCCATGCTGTTTTAAAAGGTAGGAGTTCCTTCTTTCTTTTCTTAAATGCAGATTGATTGATTGATTGATTGATTTTTTTTTTTTTTTCATCTGAATGAATTTTTTTTCAGTTCCAAAATTTTTTTTTTTAGTTTTCTGGTTCAAATACATTTGTCTCCACCTTCCTGCCACCACATTCCCCTGCCCCCTCTTCTACCTCACTCCCTCAATACTTCCCCACTTTGGCTTTGTACATGGGTCCTTTATACATGTTCCTTGACCCTTCCCTTTGCCTCCCCCACCTCCCCCCACCTTCTCTCTTGACTCTGTTGGTTTCTGTTTTCTTTCAGTGTTGCTGGTTATATTTTCCTTGCTTGTTTGCTTTGTTGGTTAGGTTCCACTTATAGGTGAGATCATATGGTATTTGCCTTTTGCCCCCTGGCTTATTTCACTTAGCATTTGCTCTCTAGTTCCATCCATGCTGTCGCAAAGAGTAGTAGCTCTTTCTTTCTGCTGCGTAGTATTCCATTGTGTAAATGTACCATAGTTGGTTTTTTTAAATTGTGATTTCTTGTTCAATATTTCTCCCCACCTTCCTGCCACCACTTTCCCCTGCCCCCTTCCTCCACCTCCCTCCCTCAGTCCTTCCCCATTTTGGCTTTGTCCATGGGTCCTTTATACATGTTCCTTGACTTGACCCTTCCTTTCCCTTCCCATGCCCACCCTTTCCTCCTTACCTCTTGACTCTGTTGGTTTCCTTTCTTTTTCAATGTTGCTGGTTACATTTTCCTTGCTTGTATGTTTTGTAGGTTAGGTTCCACTTAAAGGTGAGATCATATAATATTTGTATTTCGCCCCCTGGCTTATTTCACTTAGCATAATGCTGTGTAGTTCCATCCATGCTGTCACGAAGGGTAGTAGCCCTTTCTCCTGCGTAGTATTTCATTGTGCAAATGTACTATAGTTATTTGATCCACTCATCTACTGATGGGCATTTAGGTTGCTTCCAGCACTCAGCTATTGTAAATTGTGTTGCTATGAACATTAGGTTCTTTTGAATTAGTGTTTTGGGATTCCAGCAGTGGAATCACTGGGTCAAAAGGCAGTTCATTTTTAGCTTTTTGAGGAAATTCAAAACTGTTTTGGGTAGCTGCACCAGTCTGCATTCCCACCAACAGTGTACTAGTGTTCCCTTTTCTCCACAGCCTCACCAGCACCTGTTGTTTGTTGATCTGTTTATGATGGCCATTCTGACTGGTGTGAAGTGGTATCTCATTGTGGTTTTAATTTGCATTTCTCTGATGGTTAGTGATGCTGAGCATCCTTTCATATGTCTC